TAATTGGTAAATCATGTAAATTAAAATTTCTTTTCATTTTTATTAGATTGTACAATATTCTCTGTCCAACAATTATAATTATATTTCGGTCTGTATTTTTTTGTTTTGAACAATTGAAATTTTTTTTTGAAAATCAAAATATGCTATTTAGTTACCTGTAATCAATATAGTTTTAATAGTGATTATGTCGTTAATTATGAATACATAACAAAATTGTAGTTATACGTAATATATGCAGTTTTTATCTTGATTATGTCACCAAAATCATATTTTTTATGTTACCAATGTTCAATGATTATTTTAAAAATATTACATCTGATGATTTTTTTTTTAAATCAAAATCTTTTTGATACAAAATATCACATTCATTACATATATGTAAAAGAATTGTTGTTAGATGTAATATATATTTGATTGTTAATCTTTGATAAAGAAATATATGTCATATATGTTTCATTTAATCCCTGAAGTGAGGTGAAGGATAGTGTAAATATGGAAGTATTGATGACCAAGCGCTATGACTCAATGAAAAGGCCTAAAAAGATTATGGGAAGATGATAGATGATAAATAATAACTGATGAGAGATGAAGCGAATTTTGGGAGGACTATATGAAAAATGAAGAATATCTTAGAAATTAAATGATATATTGTTTTATTTTAAGAATGTAACATGTGGCTTCTGAAGGGTGGGCGTGTTGTAGTTTTGTATTTTTATTATATATATTTATAATGATTATGAAATGTCAATCAAAAGTGATCTTTTGGGTTTTGTTTTTTTTGAGAGGATTAATGAAAAGAGGAAGATCACATGTTCTTTTGTTAATAGGACATGTCCTTTTGTTGATGGGTTTTTGTATGAATTTCTGAAGGGTGATTTGTATATGTATGTTAATACGTAAATATGAGTAAATATATTATACATTTTTTTTAATTATGATTGTATAAATATGAACCCCAATGATAATAAACTGATTTTGGAATTTTTAGATGTTAATATTATAAAATATGAGCGAACGTAAATAGGTATAATATAAAGTAATATTTGTTTTTATCAGGTTTAACATAGATTCATTTAGTTTTTGTTAATGTCTTAATTTTTGACAACTTTAGATGCATCTTTAGGAGTTGAAACCGCGCATTGATAAAATAGAAATGCCGACAAACAGGGGTAAGGGTAGCAATTTGCCCTTATATATCCTACAGAGAAGAGGGATCTAAATTGTCATCGGTTAAATTTACTAAAAAAAACTATTAGACTTGGATAAATGTTCTAGTTTTAGAGAAATGATTTCTTAAAACCATCCATTATCAATATCGCATCTAAATGACATACATAGATATAAAGTAGGAGTAAATATACAACATCTATTCTATTCCCTCGATTTCTTATCTTTCGATCTGAAATGTAAAACATAGTTTCCTTATTCGTTTTGAATAGACTTTCTATTACTAATGGGCTATGAGAAATAGGAGTAGTGATTTCTCTGGCTATGGAGGACATTGGTGTCCCTTTACACTGTTTTTATTCAATTACTTTTTAAGGTTTACAATAGTTATGACAAACAATTTTTTTATTAAATTTTAATCTATACTTTTACAAAAAATAATCATATAGGACATTGGTCACCTTTTACACTGTGTTTATCGATTCCTATTTAAAAAATTACAGTATTTTTTGATATATTAAATTGTGATTATAAAAATAACTTAATTGGATTTTTTTTAAATAAATATAAATAAATTGCAAGATCATAGGTTCCCGTTCTAAATTGCAAAAGAAAATCAAAAAGAAATTGGGAATTTGGCTTAAATCTCCTAGAAATATTTTTAGGTAAATTTAAAATTAATATTATTAAATGCTAGGGAAGTAAACACGTGTATTTAAATTGAGTTTTAAGAAAAAATGCTAAAAAATGGGAGATATCATCAATATTCCCAAAACTGGGTCCTAATTCTCTAGGAACAATGATAATAATTCCTCCATTTTTAGCGATTTTTTTAAAAACTCAATTTAAACGCAAGGGTTTATTTCTATAGCATCTAGTAATATTATTTTCATTATTAATTTTGAAATTTTCTAGGAGATATAAGCGAGATTCCCAATTAACAATTTTTGTTTTAGCAATTTAGAACTTATTCCAAATAATATAATAAACTTTTAAAACCAATTATATAAATATCAAAAGGTATTAATAAAATACATTTATCTTTTCACAATGTTTTATAAGGACAGAATATCTATTTATTATACATCTATGAATGTAAATGCATTTTATTATATAATAAAAAATTTAAATATGTCTCACATTCATATTTTATTTTATAAACCAGAATCTTTTTATAGCCGGTTCTGGAACCAACGACTTAAAAATTTAGAACTAAAACCCGGGTAGTCTAATACATAATTACAATTCTGGTCTTCATTTTAAAGGTTAGCCAAAAATGTTGCTTTAACTGTCAAAAATGGAATATGGATATTCTATTGATTAAAATATAGTGACTTTTTTATTATAAATAAATAATTGTTCGGCATCGAGTAGAACTACACAGCCCATGGGAAAAAGGATATAGTTTGTGAGCATAAATAAGTGTATAGTATAAGACACGGTGGAGCTGTTTCAACCGTTAAAAAATTTAGGACGCGAAATGGTTGTTTTATAAAAAATAATTTATTAGTAAAAATTATTAAATTTTTTAGAGATTAAATTTATTAATTATATAGTTAATATTTATCATTTTCAGTGAATAAAACTGCAGCGCATATCAATGAATTTTATTTGAATCTAAAAAAATTAGTCATCACAATCAATTAAATTAATAGAAAAAGTAAATGAATATATGAAGCAAAATTAAGTCAATTTTAAATTTTTATTTATAGAATCAATTATTAAGGTATAAACTTTGAATTCAAAATTTTTTTAATTGTTTTTAAAATTGAAATTAATGATAAATTCGTCAATATATTCTAACTCGTTTACTTAACATAAAAAATCCTTCTGCACTTGCGGTTTTTGAGGTCTTGAATGAATTTGAAAAATCTAAGAAAATTCTTTTGAGTTTTACAAATCGATATAAAGAAATCAAAAATATATATGTTCTTTTTCTTTTTGAAATACACATATCCATATTCTACTCTTTTAATTTAGATTCAACTTGCGTAAGTAAAAAAAGAATTTGTTTCATTCAAAATTTTCAATTTTTTTTTGTGAATATAGTTTTTAATCATGTGAAAAAGATAAAATATATCAAATTGATTACATTGTTTATAAAAAATTGATATATAATTTGGATAAAATATAAATTAATAATTGTACCTAAAACCTTTTCAAGTTGTAACATATATTATTTCTTTTCATAAAAAATGAGCAATTTTATCTTTGCCCCCCATTTTATATAACGCCAGTGGCGTCACTAGCCTTTACAATCTCAGGGGGCTCAAAATTTTTTTTAGCTAACAATTTTAAAATGATCTTTTTTCCAAGTAATATAAAAAAAATCAAAATTTTCAAAGGACTCTTAAAATTTTTCAAGCAGCTTGAGCCCCTGTGCACCCCCCCCCCTCCCAGTGAAGCTAACGCTAATTGTCTTCTATTTAGTATACTTACCATTTTTTCATTTAAAAAAAAATCATTTAAGGCTTTCATGCATTAAAATTAAAATTAAGTAAATTTTACTTTGAGATTTTTGATCATTTATAAGTTTATTATCATCGTAGGAATTATGATTATTTTTTATAGCTAACCTCATCACTGATAATGACATGAAGGCTAGAATTTTGATAGCAAGAAATACATTTTAAATTTGGTAGTATTATAAATCAAAATATAAATTATGAGTATTTAATGTTTTTGAATTTAGTGGATCATCCTAGCCTCTTAGAAGACTAATCTGTCCAAGACATGAAGGATAACATCCTCTGATTAATACTTTTCATTCTTTTTTTAAATCGCTTTCTCATTATTGTGCTGTCATTTTTTTAATAATTAATTTACAAACCTAAATTTTAATATAATAGTATAAAGTCGAATAATTTAGTAGCTACATACTTCATTTGTCTTCTTTCTTGAAAATACTAAAAAATTAAGAAAATTTTATTAAAAATAAACAGGAATGATAAAAATAACCAGGTTTTTTTTATTATATGAATAAAATATCATGCATTAAAAATTATTATTTATAATTTATTCTTCCAGAAAATATCAGGGTTAAGATTGAAGGTAACATTAATGGTTAATATATTAAAAGAGATGTTATTTCTTTTTAGATTACCCTATAAAATACTACAAGGCCTACAATATTTCCAAATCTTACACAATATGTATTATACCTATATGTATAAATACTTTCTCTATCGTCAAAAATTTGAACGTTCTAATTATATTAGAGTCAAATTATTTAACCAATTTCATGGCTGATTTACTCTTTCTGAGGACATCACAAAGTGTTGTCAGCAATGAAGAAGCAAATTGGGTATAGATGATAAATGCACAGAAAATAGAAAGTAGCTGTTAGTATTATGAAAAATTAAATTATGAGCTTTTTAATCGATAATCCAATCCTCTATCAGCCTCCGATTTTGCTAAATTCTGGTTTGATAATCATAGTTTTAAAAATAAATATGTATTTAATGTTAAGTATTTATATAAATAAAATAACTGTAAGTATTAAAAATGAAAGTGCCAATCTTATTAATAGGGTAATAAAATCTGGAAGCCTCTCAAAAAGGGTCTATAAATGCTTAATTTAAATAATTTGACTACAAAACTGGCTCCTTTTTTTGTCATAATTTATTAAATTTTAGAATTAAAACTATTATTAATGCAAATTGTTAATTTTTCTTTTTATTAATTAAGGATTTACCAATCTGTAGTTAATTAATTGAATTTCGTAATTTGTTTAGTATTTTTTACACTTTATAAATATACTCTTTTTGAATGTAAAATATTGATAATACATTTTAAAATTCTAAATTAAAAAAGGAATCACAAGATTGTAAGTCTAAATAAAATCGTAGACTACACGTGACTTCCATTACTAATATTTTTTAGTTTTCTAAATACGATTTAATATGACTCAAATGACAGAAATGGAAACCTATGTATTTAGAGCCAAATTGGCAGAACAAGCTGAAAGATACGATGAGATGGTCGAATATATGCGAAAAGTTGCCCAAATGAATGTTGAGTTATCGGTAAGCAATTTTTAAATAACTAATTTTTAATTTAGATTAAATATATGTTAGGTCGAAGAAAGAAACCTTTTATCAGTAGCATATAAAAATGTCATAGGAGCGAGACGTGCATCTTGGAGAATTATTAGCAGCATTGAACAGAAAGAGGAAGCCAAGCCATCCGCAAACGACAAATCAACCTTAATACAAAGATTTAGAAATACAATTGAAGAGGAATTACGTAAAATATGTGGCGAAATATTGGAGGCACTTGAAAAACATTTGATTCCGGGCGCTACGACAGATGAATCAAGGGTATTTTATTATAAAATGAAAGGAGATTATCACAGATATTTAGCGGAATTTGCAACTGGCGATGATCGCCATAAAGCAGCTGATGATAGCTTAGTGGCATATAAAGCTGCAAGCGATATAGCTTTGATAAAATTACAACCTACTCATCCAATAAGATTGGGATTAGCTCTTAATTTTTCAGTATTTTATTATGAAATAATGGGAAGTCCAGATAAAGCCTGTAAATTGGCCAAATCTGCTTTTGATGATGCTATTGCTGAGCTTGACACATTATCTGAAGAAAGTTATAAAGATTCTACCCTAATCATGCAATTATTAAGAGATAATTTGACTCTATGGAATACTGATATTCCACAACAAACTGAAGAAGAATCATCACATCCAGATCACAATGAAGTTGCCCATACTAAAGATGTTGATAGTTCTGAACATACCAAAAATACTGTGAATACTGAACAAATCGCTCAAAAAGCTGCTTAAATACTATATGTTAATCTCTTATAAATTATATAACATTGCTATTTGCTTAAATATTTTTTAAAAATTTATTATTACTCCTTATTTACAAAGAATCTTAGAACTAAGAAATTGTATTTAGCATGTAAAAAGATTTGAAAGACACTAAATACAGTATAAATTAATTTTTTCACTTTAAATGGTATTATAATGTCTCACTTTTGCTCACTCTGTATATTTTGTATTAAAATTCACCATTGTAAGTGGTATTTGTAGTATTGCATTTCATTGCTCATTCTTTAAATATATCAAAGCTTTGTGATTTGTTATATTTTTATTCCATTTTCTCAATATACTTTCACCTTAATATACAGCAATATGTTGATTTTCTTTTAATGCCTTTTAGCGTTGTCAATTATTATCTATATACTTTAATTATTGATTTTATACTTAATCTAATTTTTATACAATATCTATTTATGATTTATAAAGTCAATAAAATAATTTAATATATTAGTTTGTATATAAATTTTATTTGTTACTACTAGCTAAGGTGAATTTTTTATTCATTATAATTGTGTTTTTATATAATGGTTAGGATAAACTTTGACTAAAAATATTTATTTATCCAAGTTTTTTATTATAAAAAATTAGTAGAAACAAGAGGTCAAGAATTATTAATAAAACTATTTATAATATAAATTGAATCATTTTAAATATCAATGTGAAAATTTGAAGCATAAAATTATTTTTTTTCTACATACTTCAATTTAAACAAACATTTTTTAAAATAGCAACTTTGCTCAAGTTGTAAGTACTATTCATCTTATATACTATGCATTTATAATAATGGAGTGTATAAAAAAAACAAGTAATTTATAAAAAAAGTTATTATAAATTCTTATTATCACAATATAAAATTTTAAAATATAATTTGGTTATATTGAATTTTGTAAACAAAATGGTAGTGAATCTGTATTAGAGGTGGGCGCGGGCCTAATTTTTTATTCACGGCCCGCCCGCTCATGGTGGCAATAAAAAAAATTTCGACCAGACCCGCCCGCTCACGACAAGCAATATTTTGATTCACGCCCGAAAATTCACGATGTCTTTAAAATTTTCAAAACTATTGCTATAATTTTACACTTTTTTGAATTCATTCTATTTATTTATTTCTCTAATTTCAAAATCCATATTTAACAAAAATAAATGCAATCTATAAATCAAAATTTATTTAGAAAAAGAAGAATGTCCATCTTTTTTTATTTCAATTGTGTACGCCTTTCCTCTAATAAGAGATTGGCTACAGAAAATAACCTTTCACTAGAAGCCGAACTTGCAGCTGACAAAATTTTACTCGATTTCTCAAAAAAGGAAATGAATATTTCTGCTTTCAAAACTTCAAAATATTGTCTTGTTATTTCTTATATAAATCTTTTAAGTTCATCCTCACAGCTTTCATCGGTGATGTTGATGCTTCATCAGAATCATCTAGAAATTCTCTAAATTTTTTATTTAGAATAAACGGTTTTATGAGTGGGATGAATTAGGAAAGTGATGGTTTTTACCATTTAGAATATACGGTTTTTTATGAGCTTAGGATAAGTTAGGAAAGTTATAAATGATAGTTGGCATTGACTTATGCATAATATCTAATTCATTTTTAAGATTGTTTTATATATATAATTTTCTTCTTTTATTAAAAACTTAAGTCTTTTGAAATTCGGATCTAGAATTAAGCCTGCCTTATGTAGTGGCTGCATAATAATTTTTTAAAAGAAATCTTGTTCTGTATTTTAAGGTTTTGATTATTATTGTATCACGTTTAGACAAACTTCATTTATTATGGGACGAGAATCTGCTCTCAGATTATCCGAGCCTTCTTTAAATATTGATAAATATTTATCTAACTCGCGTATGATGCTGAGGATTGAATATTTGAGAGAAAATTGGCAAACCACTAACATCTTCCACAAACGCATAATCAGCCTATGTAGATAAGCCTTTGGATCTTATGGGTGAAGCCATGGTTCGTGTGCAAGTGGGGAAGGAAATTCGCAATTTATCAGTTATTATAATAAAGTCAAATGACCTACCTCTGTTTGGGTTGCCATGAATTCTAGCATTTGTGTTTGAGTTACCGAGACAGATAAGCATACAACAGGTTCTCAAAACGAATAGAAAAACAATAACATCAAGTTGCCACCAAACCAAGGCCGCTCGAATACAATCGGTGCCCTCGCAGATGTCACTAACGGAAGACTCAATGGGGCATTTGTTAGCTAAACAGTTTAAAGCTGTTTTTGACGGCAAACCAGGGTTGATACGTAATTTCGCGGTGCGACTCCAATTAAAAGATACGGCTGTTCCAAAATCGTTTCCAGCTCGTCGAGTGTCATTTCCGTTACGCAGAACGGTTGAACTAAAACTGGATCGCTTTGTGGCTGCGGAGATTTTGGAGCCCATCGATTCCTCTATGATTAGGGTGCCATGGGCAACCCCAACAGTAAATGTCAGGAAAAACAATGACGAGATTCGTATTTGCGCAGATTTCAAGGTGAGTTTAAATCCACATCTATTATATGATCATCACGTTATTCCTACGCTGGATGACTTATTGGTTAAGATTCAGGGGGGGGGGGACCGTTTTACGGTGATAGATTGAAAGGACGCATATCTACAAATAGCCGTTGAGCCAGAGTCCCAAGAATATTTGGTCATGTCAACACATAAAGGATATTTTCAATACCGAAATTTTCCAGCGTTACATGGACAATGTTTTGAAAGATTGTCCGATGACTGGAGTGTATTTGGACGATGTAATTATCTCCGGCAAAAATGACGCCGAACATCTAGCTAATTTAAAAATAGTACTCGATAAGCTGCAGGAAGCAGGCCTCAAAGCTAAATTTGAAAAAGTCCAATTTTTACGGAAATCTGTTTTGTTTTTAGGTATCGTTATCGACCAAAATGGGGTACATCCAAGCAAAGATAAAGTTAAAGCAATCCAGGCCGCACCTAACCCAAAGAATGTTCATCAGTTACGTTCATTTCTTGGGCTTGTCACGTATCATGAACGGTTCATTCCCAATCTTCATAGTCAAGCAGCTGTGTTACATCGATTGACTAGTGTAAAAGTACCATGGGACTAATGTAGAGTAGGAGGCTTTCGATACTTTGTTATCAGCAGAAGAAACCTTAACGCCGTATGATGCTAAATTACCTTTGATTATGGAGTGTGACGCGTCAGATACAGGACTGGGGGCTGTTTTACTTCATAAGGTTTCACAAAACGGGGAAAAACCCATAGCATTCGCGTCTCGGACGTTGTTACATTCGAGAAACATTATGCGCCTATCGATAAAGAAACGAGGGCATTGTTATTTGGAATAGAAAAATTCCACAACTTTATCTACGGTCGATAATTTATACTTCGGACAGACCATGAACCCTTGGAACGGTTGTTCGGGGAAAGGAGGGATCTACCAAAGATATCAAACAATCGTCTGACACGTTAGGCCTGGAAGATGGCCTCTTACGACTTTAGCGTGTAATATAGATCTGGTCGTGAGAATGTTATAGCAGAGGCCTTATTTAGGCTACCGCTCTATGATATCATACCTAATCGGGATACCAAGCATGCATTGGCGATTCAGAATGTAAACTTAGAGGATATGCAGGTCTCAGAGGGAAACCTGCGCAAGAATTCAATTAAAGATCCAATACTAAAGCGAGTGACACCACATATTGAGCAAGGGTGGAGAGGCTTTAATCGTTTCACACCCAACGAGAGGAATTAACAGTAGACAGGGGAATAGTTGAACGAAATGGTAGATTGTTAATCCCATCCCTACGAAACTTAGGAATTCAGTGTTGGAAACACTACAGCGGGGACATCCGGGAATGAACGCGATATAATCTATTTTTCGGTTGTATTGTTGGTGGCCGAAATGCGAAGAGGACATAGAACGGTATATAAAGCTTTGCGTTGGATGTCAGAAAAATCGACCGAACGTAATGGAGTTACCACTATACTCATGGAATTGTACCAAAGAGCCATGGGAGCTTATACATTTAGATTTTGCGGGACCGGTTGACTCTTTATATTGGCTAGTGGGAGTAGATTCATACTCAAAATGGGCTGAGGTAGAGCTGATGAGAAACACATCGGCGAAGGAGATGATAACGAGATTAAAGAAGTGGTTGGCTACCTTTGGGGTACCTAAAAGCATTGTAACGGATAATGGACCTCAATTTATTTCAATAGAATTTAAACGATTTTGTGAAGAAAACAACATTTGCCACATTCGCTCACCGCCGTACCACCCGAAGACAAATGGGCAGGCGGAACGAACCATTCGAATCTTAAAAGGGAGGTATTATGCCAGTCGAGAATCAATTAATGACCCGCAAGAGGCGATGACTCAAACGGTAGCAGCGTATAGGCTGGGAGAACATAGTTCGACAGGTAGGTCACCAGCTAAGATTATGTTCGGTCGTCAAATAAGAACTAATCTAGACTGGGCTAGACCAGAGGTGGGAAAGGAGATTGATAAAGCCAATGACAAAATCAAGAACGTGATACACATTCCAATTTTAGGAAAATTGACGTTGGCCAGCATGTGTGGGTAAGGAATGAAACCACTAAGGGTTGAAGAGAAGGAGTGATTTAGGATAGAAAGGGATTATATTCCTATGTAGTCAAGACCCCAGATCGTGTAATACGAAAACATGGTGACTAGCTAAGGGATCGTTTGATAACAGATACGACGGAGCGCGTGATCTCTGACAGCGATCAGAGAGAGTGTGAGACCCCAAGGCGAGGGCTGACACATAAGCCCCCGAAACGAATGATTGAAGAGATATAGACATCTCTCAATTAACGTAGGGTGAAATGTAGTAAAGAAGTAATCTATTGTAATATTTTATCATATTATATATTATATTTGCCAGTTAGATATATATATATATATATTTACGATTAATATAATAGATGTTGTTTAACTTCCTAATGTATTATGTACACACCCATCCATTAACGTGTAATTACACTTCAAAAAATATTAATATTTTACTTCCGGTGGTAAATTTGAAGTGAGAACGGTAAATATTATTTTATTTTAATCATATTTATTTACAGATTATATGAACATTATAGTTACTCCTAAGACTTAATTGTAAATTGTAACATTGCCAATATGACCCTTCCATAATCAAAACTTACTTAATCGGGCATGGGCTTTTATCTGTCCCTTTTACTTCCCATGGGCGTTTAAGTGAGTGGCTTTGCCACTTACGCGCACAGGTAACTGCGGCCTGCCCAAAAATCGTGGATGGTCCTCTTAATTATTTTCCCATTCTTTATCCCAGTTTGATGGGTTTTTTCATAAGAGAACCAAGCGTTGCTCTGTTGTATATATAACTTTTGCTATATGTACGACGTTTAGGGCTAGTGCGCTTAATATCACGTATCGCCATTTGTAATTAAGTTGCACCTTATGGTTAAATTATACTGA